GTTGCCAGCCCCAGACAGGACCCAGCCTCCTGCAGACTCCAGTGCATACTGTGGGCACCGGCGTAGTCCACGCTGGCCCTCCTGGCCCCCTCCCCTAGTGGTTCCAGAAGCCCAGGAAAGTGGCCCTGGCTGTGCCCACGAGGGGCTGAAGATAGGCCGGCTGGCCGGCTGGTCTGGCAGTGTGTGCCCGGACTGGGTATCAGCCTCAGCCCTCCCTGAGTACACCCTCCTTGGTCAGGAGGGGAGGGGGCCCCAACCCATCCATCACTCAGGAGGCAGGAGTCTCACCACGAGCCTTCGGGACCTTCTCTGAAGCCCCTCGTCCTGTCCGTAATTTATTTACATTCGTGTTACACCAGGTGCGTGGATGTGACACATTGTCCCGGCCAGCGCGGGCGACAGGAATTGAACTTTAGTCTCCAGGCAATTACGGCGGCTGGGACTGTGCTTCATTAGCGGCTGTTACGCAGTAAAAGCGATCAAATGGCCCCTATTTGCGATTTAAAAATGCAATTTATTTTAATTTACGTTTCTGAGGACTTCTGGGGTTTGGCTGGGGGCAGCCAGGGCATCACTGGAGGGGGTTGGGCCGAAGCCCCTCCTTTTGGAAGGATAGAGGATGGCCAGCGTGGACTAGACCTGGACGGCAGGAAAGGCAGAGGAAGCTGGGAGCAAGCTGGGGGGCGGGGGGAGCAGGCCGTGGCCTCAGGCTGGCAGGAGATGAACATTCTGGGCCGCCTTTTAAAAAGCGGTGAAAAGTCCCCCCCGGCCTTGCTGGTCTGTCGCTGGCTGCTGTGGAGTGGGCTGGGGAAGCATTCCTGAGCCAGGGGCCTGGGACCTTGGGCACAGTGGCCGCGCCGCCCCACTGCTCGGGCAGCGTGGCAGCCCCTCACCGCCCCTCAGGCCCAGAGGCAGGCCCCGCTGCCTCTGCAGACCCCAGCGGCAGGCCCGCCTTGGCTCTGGCCGCTTCTGGCCTCGGGTGTGCATCTCGTTCCCATTTCTGCAGCCCCGGAGGGTCACACTGACCTGTCTGGACGCTGTCCGTTTAACCAGGACAGCCCCTGCAAGGCCAAGGCCTGAAGGCCCGGACAGATGGAGGGGCGGAGGCAGCCGAGGGTCG